CCAGAATCCTGTCAGAAAACCAAACCCAATGGCGTCCCGGCGCGGCCTCGACAACGTAATTAAGACGCGTCGTTTCTAACGAGACGTCTCGACGATGCGATACCGCCAACTCTATCCGCTCTGGTAAACACCCCTTGCCAGGCCAGCTCGACAGCGGAAATAACCCCCGCCGAGCTCCAATTACAATCACGCTCCGGCTACCTCGAATCAGACGCGATCCTGTCATCCACTTTTCAATTCATTTTTTCCCTTCCTTTCCACCCGAGGCGCGCGACAAGCCGCGACAACGAAAAGTTTTACACGTTGCCAGAGTTCCGAAGGGTTACGGAACTGAGCCGGGAACGGCGGTAGTCGATGAAAACCGTTCGCAGATGGAAATTGCTTTCGACGAATAGCTCGGCTCGAAGATGTGCACAACGGGGCGCAGAATTTGGCCGACGCCACCTGAGTGACGGAGGAATGGAACTAAGGAGGGGGATAGGACCGTCTTCCCGGAATCTTTAGAGAAAATTGCAATTCCTCGTAAGAGATGTTCCTTCTCTACTATCTCGCGGCGCGATTCTTTCTCTTGCTCAGAGACTCTTAGATGATTAAAATTGCCTCCCACCCGTGCTTGCGCGTCGAACAACGCGGAAAGTGTCTCCGAGAGGATTGGAAAGCGGCTGTTTACCGCTTCAACGCCCGCGGAGGCCACGTTACAGTTGCGATTATCGGCAGATTCATTGTTCTGATCATTTTTCGCTAATTGTTAATGTAACATACAATCCTCCTTTTAGCAAACAACAGGAATTCAATGCGTTCTAACAGGATTGAAGTTGATTTGTATTAAAACGATATAATAATATGGCTCTGACTGAAGAATCGAAAACATTAATTTTGTTCCTATTTTATGGAATACGCCGTTAATAATATGCAAAATTCGGAACTCTTTCGTTTATCAGATGTTTCGTTTCGTTCATTTCAATTTGAGAATATCAATACTGATTTGGATAATTAATATCTGTGTGGAAATAATACTGGCATCCGGACGAGATTATTTATACACTTCATTTCACAATAATTAAACATTGCCGTTGGCTAAATAAATCGTGTAATCGAAGTTTCTTCTAGCACAAAATTAATAAACAACGCACCGTGGAAATCGCTCATCCATAATTATTGTTTTAATTTAATGTTTGAAAAATCGTGGCGACATGTTTCGACAAATCGAGCGTAAATAAACGCATTGGTCTTGTAATTCGATGATGATTGATCGGTATTGTATACGGCGCGCAACAAGTTTGATTAACGCGTTTCTATTGCTCGGCAATAATCGAACCGTTTGAATTTCGACTAAAGGGAACAGATGAAAGGCAGCAATATCAACATTGAATTAATATCAATTATGTTGTTTCCTCAAAGAACAATTTCTAGCAAATTCCTATATAAACTCTATTTCCTTTGACGTTCGAAATCTGGACGCGAATATTAAAAGGCTGTCCGGGAAAAGCTGAATACCTCTCATTCAATAATACTTCTGAACAGAAAATCAAAAGGCAGGAATCACAAATACGTCGGTATTTTCTTGTTTTGATCCAAACACGTTTTATTAAAATCGATTTAGACTATTTCAATCAGCGGAATGCATTTATTAGAAGAATGCATTTTATTTCTACAAAAAAAAAAGAAAATGAAATGCTTCTCAATGGACATGTTTTCTGAACGGTAGTAGATACATGTTCAGTTAGTCGGTTAGGGTGCGAATTTTTATATTCGTCAGAAGGAGTCCTATAAAATTTCAAACTGCGTGCTATCCGTGCAAGGTATCTCATAAATGTGGGGCGCATTTACGTACTTGTTGCCGCGCACGTGTGTACGGACGAGAAAACAGACACATGCACGTAGCCCAGAAGATATACCATGTAGAGGGGAGTTTTGAGGTGCGAAGGGACTTCAAAGTTTCGGATTTTCAACTCGATTTGCTCCTTCGCCGGTTGTGTACCGCCGCTTTTACGTTACCAACCCGTTAACATACGCCACGTCGTCGCGTCGAGTCGTTTGGTTCCGTTTACTTAGGTTTGCGACGGTACATTGAATTTTCAGCGCTCATATTAGCGTTTGGTCGGTACTCGCTGTTTGACTTCCCTGTTTACACGCGATTGTGGGATTCCGGCACGAATCAACCTCTTATCTACATTTAGATTACATATACTTTTATCTTCTGTTTCGTACAACTGAGAATTAGGCAGTAGAAAAAAATTGTGTGTCCATCGAAAATAATCTCTTAATACTTAGAAGTAGTGATATTACTTAGCTTTTATTTAAACATGAAAATGTTTTATGCATGATAATGACTTAAATCGATTGTGCTTTCGAACAACATTTTGCGAGAATTCCACAGGAGAGATTATGGGATTGTTGTGGAGATCGAATTTAATGCATGGAATCCACGAAAAACGAAAACAGACATCTGGGAAATTGGACTCGAGATCAATTTATCTGAAGACAAGTACTCTACAAAAGCCTTACTCCTCTGACAGTTCTAGTATGTACTGGAAATCAGGCTTCTAAACATAATCCATGTGCATAATACTAAAGTAAGTTTGTTTCGCTATTTTGTTCTTGCGAAAAACATAATGGTACATTTCGACGAAGGTATGCAATTTTTTAATTCAGCCTGGGTAAATAGCGTTGAAATATTATTTAAAAATTATCAAAATCCAGGAGGTCGAGTCAGGGGCTAAAGATCGTTGGGAATGATACGAGGACGCGCATAAAGTACCGCAGTGGTCGAGCGAGCCGGCATATTGGAAACCATCCAATAACCCACTTGGCTTGCTGTATCGTCGAAGCCCACCCGCGAGGGTGGAGTACGAACACAAAAAGAAAGGGGCTACTGCGACATAGCCAGAGAAGGGGCTGAACGGAAGCGAGCAGAGAACATACATAAAAATAGAAAAAAGTAAATCGAGGATATGGAATTTACAATCTAGACAAGTGGAAGAAGGAAAGAGTGGCGAACGGGAAACGAGGAATATTCGAGGGTGAGGAGGTAACGATAGGATGCGTAAAAAGCGAAATGCATTGGCCGTTTAATGTCCGTGGGGAGAATTCATTAAAAAGAATTTGTCGAGCGGGGATCAGAAAGAGTCCCGGAAGGTATGAAGCTCGAACCGAACAAACGATTCCAATATTCGGGCAGGTACCCCACGTGTAATAATTATATTACAAGGTATTGAAATTTGGTTACGTGCCTCACGAGCCTGCGTGTCGACGAGGGGACCGAGAGCGAGGAGGGAGTTTTAAAATTGATGTAATCGAATAAAACGCGCGGGAAACGTCCGCGTGACTTGAATCTCGACGCCCGTGCCGTGCCGTGCCGTGTGTGCCATCTGCTCGCGACAACTGACGCTGCGTTCCACTAAAAAATATTGCCAGCTCGCCTCGCGGAAAACGGGTTTCGCGATAGTGGAAAACGGGAAAACACGGGGTATTTGACGAATGAGAGTGTCCCGATGAAATATTCTCGGCGACCCTAATTTTTGTTATTTCGTTTCGAAACTGCAGGCAACACTATAACTAACAAAGTCATTGACCCGAGAACTCCAAGTTAAATTAGGAAAAATATATATGTACCGCTTGAACAGCCTTTTTCACTTGAGTAAATATTCGCTATTTATTCCATGTCAACGCAACCATGACCGCGTTCTATAAATATTGTAAATCCTAACGCATAAAGATGGAATAACGTTCGCACGATTTTTGAAGGAAATTCCCCTCATTTCATTCGGTTTGTAGCTTTAATATACACCGCGTGTGCTTTGAATCTTGAACTATCTAAGCAATCCCTTCGACCGACTGCCACACGCGAACGTGTATATATACACGCGTATATACATGGTTTAATATCGTCGCGATATTTCGTCGGCGAAGAACCAGACCACGGCCAGGATCGATCCGCCTCCGCATTTTAATTTCACTCGGCAGGAATCCTCGCCAAGAAAGAAAGGGAATCGTTTAAATGGCCTTTTCACTACCGTCCAACTGGAACTCCGTCTACCCACCCTCCCTCTGTACATCAACGAGTGAACGGGAAAAACGCTTTCATTAGAGATCGCGCGTGAATTTTCCAGCGGATGCTTCCAGTTCGATCCTCTTCGTCGATTAGCGCGCATTGTTTCTAATATGCATTAAAAACGTGAGCAGCAGAATTCGCGGGGGTAGCGCATCATATTAAAATATTTCATGACTCATTACGAATACCGTAAATAGAGTTGTTAAACACGAGATTAAAAACAACTGTTAGCTCTACTCTTGTCTCTTTCTAGATATTTTGGCCGACTGTAGTGTATTCCGCGCGAAAGCAAAGTTTGTGATTATAATTACTTCCTGCAGGGTTCAAAAACTGGTGGGAATCCGAAAATTCCCGACGCGATAATGAAGCGCGTTCCTAGAATGAAAATGTCGAATAACGATACGCTCGTATATTCCATGGGTTCGCAACTGTCGAGTGTTCTATTTTTGAAGGATGTATTGGCTATACAGTCAATCCCAAAAGTTTATGTACCTTAGAAAAACGCATTTCCTATAATTAAAAAGAAATCAGCTAAATCAATGCTAATAATAAATAGCTACGTGCTAAAAGGTATAGAAGGAAATATACTCGTAAACTATTGACGCTAGCGAAAAATTTTTACATGGAAATTGTAGATCTCGACGTCCTCTACAAGAAAGGTCCTATGCAATTTTTCCGTATATCTAACAGTTTGGGAGTTATTGGCAAAAAACGAAAATTTGGAAGAAATTGAAGGGGTACCCCTTGGAAAAATCTCGGAAAAATTGAAAAATTTTTTTTGTTGTTTATTCTTAGCAATGTTCTTCCGACGTCTGATTTCTTTTTAAAAATGCGTTTCTAAAGTGCATAAACTTTTGGGATTGACTGTACAGCCAATACATCCTTAAGTTACGCTTGAAGCATACTATTGCGTAGAAAAGTCCAAATGAATTAAATATCCACTTACCTTCGAGCGTTCCCGTGTAGGCGTGGAGCGGATCGAACGCTATTTGCCGTCCATTCGATCCCTCGAAAACGACGTTCTCGTAGAAGAGGCTTGTGTCCCGTGTTAGCCTCATCTTGAAAACTCTGAAACAGACAATATATTTAAAATCGTTAAATATTTTAAACTAAAAGATACTTTCTCTACAGAAACGAAGTAAACCTCTAGGCAAATTTTTTAAATGATATAAATGCGACAATTTCCATTTCGATTTATCATATCCAAAACGCGATTAATTACAAATGCGTCAATTTGCAATATTGATTTTGAAGAATGATGGCCTCGTCAGATACAATACGTTTGTTAACAATAAATTTAATAAGTCTTCGTTTCAGCTGGCTTCGAATTGACTTTACGCGCGATCGATCCGTTGGCTTTCCAGCCGCTAATCGCTTTTCGATTGTTTCCCAATTACACAGTGATTAGCCTCTACCTCTTTTAGCTTCTAGTATTTCTGCTGGAAATTTTTGCAAAACATAGGAATGAGGGGGAACAATTATATTGTGATCAGTTCTCTTCTTATGCGACTCTCTCTGAATGATTACAGGAGAAAAGAATAAAATAGAATTAATTTTCATTTTAAATACGTTTCATATCAAGAGATCAATGGTTCCCTCTTTCCCTCTCTTTATTCAAATGCATTCGGGGTTGAGAAACACTGCGGAGCAAACTAAATTCCTCAGGACAGGGATGTCATATAATAATCGCGCGATGCAACGCAACAACGAGGTCCCCGCATACATACGTATTATACAATGTAACCGTAACCAGTCCCTTACGTGGCCGGAGAGCACGCGCACCCTACTGTGTCACACGGTACAATCGATAATCCGATCGGGTTTCGGGAGGCTCGATGTTTTCACCTAATTATTGTCTAAGCGGATACCGATATCGATCGACGGGTTGTCCGACTAACTCCTTTCACGGGTTCGCGCGCGCTGATTTCAATCATTCATCGGCAGAGGAGAAAGCCGATTCGATCCGCGCTCGCGGATGTCACCGCGGTAATGTAACTAATGAGACATTGAAAGCAGCGGGCGCAGGATTAATCCGGGCTGATGAAGTGATTACTGCCGAACGGAGTTCACGCTCGCGCTTTATTTCGTCACCGAAAAGGGAAGATTGATGAAACGTAGCAATTTCGTGATCATCGGTCGAGCCTCGACGCTTTTTGATGTCATTGTTCCAGGAGATAGCTCCGACCGGCTTCATTTTCGAGTTATCGAGAGAGATGACATTTCGATAATGAACTCCGTTGGCTGACCGAGTTCCAACAAATGGGGGATGTAATTTCTGATTCGAACGCGTCAACCTTTCCGCGGGAAGTTTCCCCATCCCGAAAAGTTCCTCGCAACACGATAAACTCCGATTCGATCTCACGGAAAACTATGCTTGTCCAAGTAAAAAGTAGAAAAGAGGGAATCCACGCGACTAGGTGAGCCGGGGACGTTGGAATTAAATGTCGCCGAAGAATGCCGAGTTTAATTAATCTACGCGTTACACGAAATGTCAATTTCCTAATTGGACAGGAATTTTGTGATGTGTGCAACGACGTGCGCGCGCGCGCGCGTGCCCATGGGTCATCATACTTTGAACAAGTAATATCGCAATGTCAGGGGGCAGCTAATGAAATGAAATTAGCAATGTTATCGTACACTACAGGGAGCATTAATTAAATTACATCGCGTTAATTACCGTATTGCTGTACCAATAATCGTTTCACGAGACGCGACGGGACGCGTGATTTACGCGCGACATCCCGTGTGCACATATTAAAATGTAGAGAGTACGAAAAAAAGTGGTGACGTGTACATTTGCATAAAAATTACATATACCGCATTGTTAACTATTTTATATACGTTTTCATTTCTCATTCAGGTGACCCATTTATTAAGATTTTGCCTGTTCGATATCAATCCTTTAGAAAAGACCAGCGGAGTATTTAAACGGGCTAAAAATGTGTGTGTGACAGTGAAACGGATCATAAATATTTATACCCGTAAATATCAAGGCTTTAGCGTTCGTACGAACGTAATACATACAAATGCGTATTATGCGAAAGTAATTATGGAATTGGTGGGTAGAAAATTTACATTCCGACTGGTAGGGGAAGCAGCAATTTCGAATGGCTGGGATTTAATGAATTTCCATAATGGACCCGACCGAAGGAAGGGGTTTTAACTCCATGGAAAAACTGCTTAAAACCCGTCGCTTCCCCCGCCGAGCTTGCGCCCTCATGCTTCTTCGATAAATACCGTTCAACCTTTTAGGGAATGCTCGCTAATTAAAAACATTCTTTTTATTTTAAAAGTGTATCCATGATTGTTTCCGATGAAAGAATCGAAGCAAAACAATATGGGCAAACGGTATAACACCGCCGGAGCAGTTGAATTTTCGCAAACTGTTGCACCCGCAATTATACGAAACTCATTAGCCAACAATTTTGGTTAAAATGAGTTAACTAGTTTCGCGGCATTCGAGTGTCTTGGCGTGGATACGAATGCTATTAACATTATTCGCATTAAGTCATTAAGCGAATAGCAACCGTCACATATAACCCCTGGGGAAAATTTTACAGTCCCTGAAACCGGTAGCATCGGTGAAGAAGCGACTGATCGAGCAGCATATGAAAGAAGTTCTCTTGTTATTTTTTAATAAAACAGTCGGTGGGACTAAAATTGCTATTGCCTCGGATCGCAATTTCCTCGGCAATTGTCAGCGAAAGAAAGTCAACGCAATATTATCCTCGTTCCGGTGTAATAACGAGAACCGCGGAAGAGTAGCTAGGAAAATAAGGAAACGTATAATAACGACGTCCTATAACGCGCGTAAACGATTCACTGGCTGCCGTGCTCGCTAACTGCCGCGCAACTGACTCGAACAACAACTTATCGCATAATCATAATCGTTAATACGAGAGAAGTCTTGTTCTGGTAAAGCTGAAGCGAAAATAAACTATGATACTATCACTAGGAAGAACTTTTTGATCAAGCGTAATACGAAATATGTAATAAAATAACAGTAAATGAAGAAATAATAAAGATTCAATATTTAGAAATATTTAGAATATTTAGAAAATCTCATTCAATAAAGTCTGTGAAACAATTTCTACAATTTCGCTAAATTACGGAACTTATAAAAAGAGTTCTTGCCAGGAGTAATATAATTAAGGAACTACTACAGATCCTCGATTTTTCTTTTAACACCTTTGAGGCTAAGCATGAAATCAGAATGTTTTCCTCGTTACACAACTTCATGTCGACCTCGCAATTCAAAGAGAAGCTTGATGCTAAATCCGCGAAGTACGGGAATCGAACTTACGAGTAATTCCAAAGCGACTCTGACTGTCTGTCTGTCTGTCTGTCTGTCTTGAGAACCCACGCTTCCTGTGAATAATCATACAACTAAGCCTTTGGATGGCTTAAGTGTTCCACAGTAATTAACGTCGAGCGCTTAAGCCAGCTCGTTAACCATTTAAAATGGTTTGACGATGTTTGGTACTGTCAATGTGTTTCCTATTCAGCAACTCTCTTATAAATCATTGATGAATGAACGCTATAAATAATTTACATAAAAATCAAGTGAATACGAAACAGAGATAAAAAAATTGAATACATTTCTCGACTAATTTTTCAGAGTTTAAAGTAACTCGGGACTGAAGTATGGTTTATTAGGCTAACTCGCGCTGCCTCATGAAGCAGTACCTTTAGACGACAATCAACACTTTCGTGAGATCTCATTCGCGAGATTGCTAAGTTCGTCGTTTCTGTATTATACGCGGGTAGAGATGTAAGTCTGAAACGCGAGATTGCCGCGTGAATCTTGCGGGAGCCATGCATAGAGAAGTTTGCCACCCGGTAACCCGATGGGAGTTACCGCTCGCGACAAACAACCGAACGAACAACGACAGCCGACATATCGAACGCATAAATCCGGTGACTCTTTACATCTCGGCGTAGCTCCTGGGAACTTGTGAAATTGATATACGCCCGGACGCTGGAGAAAAGTTTGATACCGTAACGACGATTTTGCGGCAGTAACTCTCTAACTCGATGCGAGTTCCCCAATCGTATATATGAGTCGAAATAAAAATTGCACGAAGCTTTACCAATTTCGTAATTCCTTCGAAAAAAAAAAATATTACCCGTACTCACGCGTAATAACGACGATGGTCGTTCGCGAAAATTTTTCGAAAATTTTTGATTAGTTCCATAACTATCTGGTATAAAAAGCACATGGGAAATTGAAGTTAGTTTCCGAGTTAATTTCACAGTGTTACATCTGATGGAAACCGGGAGCGGCAAAAAGCTATTGGTGCGTCCTATAATCGATATCTCTTTAATGGCGTGCCTTTTTACAGAAAACCTGTTGCTCGATTGGCTTGCAACTTAAACAAAAACGAAAACCGTCGACTTACGTCGGTTCGGAATCATCGGTATCGGACGAGCAAGAGCTATCGGGAAAACTGGTTATCCAAGTAAATTGGAAGTTCAGTTGAACGTGTAATACCGACGTTGACGCGATCGCATAATTCACGAGCGTCGAACACACTGAATCGCGGGTACGATTCGCAAAGAAGACCAGTCGGACACTGCGTACTCGGTTGGCCGGGTATGCAAACGACAACCGGAGGGACAAGTATCCTAGCGGCCGAAGTTTGGGATACGCGTATCTGCGCGACATTACTCGCCAGATAGGAATACATCGCGCGCAGATTTGCATCGGACGTGCCCCGTGACGTAGTCGAGCTCTGCGAACGAAATGCATACGAGCTCGTGTGTTTCCGGGCTTGACAGAGCGACGAAATATCCTCGGAGACGTTTCTAATTACGGATTCGACACGTTTTGCGGTATATTACGGGAACTTGGGATACGATGGCAACAATTCTTAATGACAACCAGTATCGTAAGTTACGTGACAGCTTCTCTTGACGTAGGAGACGTTCTGCATGATCGGGGGACCATTAATAATTTTGACAATTAACCGGAGCGCCTTGCGTAGCAGCGCAACGTTTAGAACGGGAAATTAAACGGAATAACGCGTTCCGCGAATCAACGTTTGCTTGAATTAATCAGAGCGCCTGGCGCGCGGTATGGCATTTTGTTAGGCTTCCGTTCGCCGTACCAAATTGCCTAATAATTCCATCCGCTATTGATTATCAATTAATTAAAGTTTAAATGCTAGCCGGGTAATTAATGCCACGTCGTTTGATATTTATGCAAAATTGAATTAGAATGGGCGGAACGTTACGGAGAATATTAATCGATTTATAGTCGCCCGCCGCGTACGGTTCTGCTAATGAAATTTTAGTTCATCCGCTACATTCGATTATGAAAAATTTAATATATTACGACTGCCATGCCAACCTACCTGCATTTTCACGTTTCGCAATATATTTGTCATTCGGACGATAAAATTTGCTGTACGTTTAACCGGGTGCCGCGTGAACTTTCAACTTTTCCGCTTTCATTTGCGCCCGCAGTACGAAACACTAATTTCGGCGAGTACCGGTTCGCTATTAATTTTAACGCGCAACGCGGGAATCAAAACGTTCCGCGGGCAACCTGTGTACGGTTCGTTCCTGCCGCGAAAGGATTGGACAGCAGAATCGTCGGTGAATATTAAATAAATCCCGAGTTTGTCTGCGCGCGTAGGTGCGCGTTGCGCGAAAATTATCACCGAAGACCGACGTTACGGGGCGCGGCGCAGCACGGCGTTATTGCTCAATTTACGCGAGAACGACGCTCGCCTCCTCGAAAGGACGATTAGTCAGGAGCGGTGAGTGATGCATGTACCATTGAGAAATGGGATTAGTTGCAAGGGGTAATGCACGCTCCAACCCCCTCCGACAACCTCGTTTGCCTCGTAATATACACTCACGTAATACACGTACACACGCGTGGTTTCGCTCGTTTATACGTACGTACACGTATCTATGTACGTCCGGAGGAAAACGTGGAATATGTAAAGGCCATTTCTTGCCTTCCGAGTTACTCGGTTTATCGTCTCTCCGAGCAGCAACCTTTCCTGCCTGATTAATGCCCTCGGACCTCTGCGCTCCACCCACCGCACTGTCCCGCGATCGTCCACATTCAAACGCTGACGACCATTCAGTAATTAAGACGAATTTTCCCACCGTTCTCTCATGTTTCCCCATGACCGGACTCTAAATATGCACACGTGGTAACATTTTTGTGTTACACTCGTCAAGATCAATGACTATCAAAGCATAAAAAGGGATAAAGGAAAATAAATAATTAAAGACAGTTCGATACGAAGTTTAATAATTGAGAAATCGTTAGTCTCTCGTGATTGGAAACGGTGGCCCCTGGCAAGAGTGGTCGTTCTTGTTTGCTCGCGCCGAATCGAATCGATTTCGAATTGATTCTACGGTGAGGTCGTCCTTAACGCCGATCGGCACGTCCGAATTTGTACAGTCGGACGTCGTAATTGGCTCGAGCGCAATAAGTGCCGATATTAAGGTTAATTGGAAACGTTGCGCCGACTCGCCGGTTTATTTGCAACAGCCGATCCGATTATCGCTCAAGAAACTCATTAACGAACAATCCAATTAAATCTTACAGCGACGTTACAAAAGAAACGGGATTCGACCCGGCCGATTTTAATTGCGCCCGGATCCTCCCGAATGGATCTTCCAAGGGTGGAATTTACCTCGAAAATAACGTTAACCAGTCCGCCCGATACCATTGTCCGAGCGATAACGATCGCTCCTAACTACCTCTTTATACACCGGTTTAACCATAAAGGGTTGTTTATCTCCTCGCGAGAGCCTGAAAGCAGCTCGTTCAACAATTTTCCTTTCGCGTCGACGAAGCAAATGGTTTTTAATTAATGCACATGGTAACCGGGATCCCAAGCCGCGCAACGTACCTTTAGATTTACGTGTTAAATAAAAGTTGGCGGATTCTCTTTGCGACGGTTTGATGAGAACCTCCAGACGTACTCCAGGCATGACAACCGAGTCAGAGATACGAGGTCGTACGATCCTTGAATTTATCTCGTACTTAGGTTTATCGAGGCGGCGGAAGAATTTCACTTGTTTTTCCTTCGAGTTTGATACTCTGTCCGCCGTAAAGCCAGCTCGCCGCATCGGTCTCCATAACCGAATCGGACAATAAAAACCCAAGTTTTATCGGCCGCACCTGAGGAAGGGTTCCGCGAAACTTTCTGTTCTCTTTACGACGTTCGACTGGTAAACATCGGGGCAGACCTCAACCGGTATTCTATTCAAATAAAGCGTTCCCCGAGTACGCTCCGCAATCTGTTCCGACGTTTCCTCTGGGGGGTTCATTCCGAATTACGGACCATTAAACCACGCCAACTACGATCCCAGACGCGAATCAACCTTTAAACATTTCAAATCGAATGATAAAACGTACTCGGAGCCGGTAAATTGCGCCGTCGTAAACTATCTTTATACCACCGCCCTCGCGTGCTTAAAACAGCTTGTATCGCGCGTTATCCGTGACCGAAGCACGCATTTATAAATTTCACCGCCAGTTTCCGCCAATATTTTTTCCTCTCCGGCGTGCAGTGTTTCGCTGGGAAAATTTAGTGCTCCCGGCGCACTCCCGAGGATATGCCCGGAGGTAGAAGGCGTCTCGGTTAGGAGTCTCTCGAGCCGAAGCTCGCACAAGCGATTTCCTCCGGGTTTTTCGGCCATCGAATCGAAAAGGAGAATCGAGTCTCTCGGCGGCGACGGTTCCAATCCGGCACGTGTTCGTACAAAAGGGGCAGCGACCCTCTCTCGGTCGCGACGCACTCGAGGCAAAGCGCTCGAATCGGAACTCGGAGCTCGTATCGACCAAATGCTCTTCCCTGGGAAACTGAGGACGTCGGCCAAGGACGGGAAAACTGGAGCAAAGAGGTCCGGAAACTGTCAGCCACGAAAAAACCTAACGGAGGAAGGAGGCAAAAACGATACTACGAACTTTGATGGAGAATGTGCTTGATAGAGAATCGAAGAAACAGGCAAGAGGACTAAGGGCGGAAAAGACTGATGGAAGAGTCGAGACGACCGGCCAAGAGGTGGAGAATTTTTGTAACTCAGAAAGAACGGTCTGTAACAAATTGGAGAAGAATAAGGGTGAAGTGGACGGGTCCGCGCGGGGGTGAAGCAGTAGAAGGCACGGAAGGGAGAGAGCCAGAGAGAGAGAGAGAGAGACACGTCTCGAGGAACAGTTGAGCGACACAGAAACAAAGCTGTCGCGTCTCTTGAGCGTAACGTTGAGATTTAGGGGCTCGTGTCGATGGCACTGACAACATAGTGATATCGCGATGCTCAACGAGGCATGCCGGCCACCATGTCGGGCCAATACGACGCAGAGGATGCACAAGAGGGCAAACATACATACATACATACATATATCGCAACATGGAACTACTGTACGTACGTACGGTATTCAAGAACTGGTCTGTTCCTAATCGATTTTCTGCGCGAGCATGGAAATTGAATCGTCTTTTTTGTTTAGACATATGTAATTGAAAACACGGATCAACGAACATCACGTTATGTATAGCAGAATGTTCGTTCATGTAGTTGTTCATGTTATAATTGTAAGAGTAAAATTTCAAATAAACAGTTCTACATCGATTTTGTTCTTTTGCATTAAACTTGAATTATCCATACTTTCTATTTATATTTTATTTTGTCTTCTAGTTTTTCTAGTTTCGAATTTATAGCATATTCCCCGTTGCCATATGCCATTCATTCCGGCAGCTTATTGCACGCAGCTGCGCCGAGATTATAGTTAAGTATGTATCATGCTAATTTAGAGTACGTATCGCTAACAATTTAGTTAGACGTTCCTATACCATCTTCCATCTTGGCACTGAAAGTTTCCGCTCCCGTCTTGACATAAAACGGGATGTATTAAATATTTTTGTCATTCCGCAGTGAATTCGTTCTTTCCCAATATATTTTACGCGTTTATTTTAATCGATTCAGAGGTTCGCTCTCAGACGGGGTTTCTCTTTTCAATTACCGACACGCTAAATTACGCGTAACTTTCGAGAGACGGTCGAAAATACAATGGAACGGGGTGCCCCGGGCTGAGGTAAGAAGATTCGGCTTCTTCGGCTCTCAACTTCGTCCCGAAAGTTGCACTCTCACGAGAAAGCACTTTCCTCTGTGCATAAAATAATTACCATCCTCTCTCTTGAGCCGGGTCACCCTACCCTCCCCCTCTTACTTTGCATTATTTCGAGGCTACCGTGGAAAATCATTGCGCGGCGGCTGCAGGAAATTGCCGCAAATACTTTTTCAATCGATAGGCCGCGAGAAAACGGATTAAGATCTTTTTCACAAAAACACGGCCGAATCTGGTTTTTTATTAAAAGCGATTCAGGAAAATTCCAAATTCCCCTAGGATTTTGTAGAAAAACTGCGGCGTTGTTCACCGGGATTATTTATACATCACGACCGACTTTTTTTGCCGACCGACGTCCGGGCCGGAGTGAAAATTTATGTTCGCCCACGCCCGCGGAACGGGTCGTTCGTCCGAAGATTATACCGCCTTTGACAGGCACGAGGAAACTGGAATTTTCTTCGACAAAGCTCTATCTCGCGTTTTACCACCGGCAACGGATTCCTTTCTCTTCCCTTGGCGTCTGCTGGGACGGAAGAGAGAAGAAGAACACGTGGGGTTTTACGAACCTGTCGAGAGCGTGAAGACGTAGATTCAGCGACGCGTTCCCAGGATACCCGGAAGCTGAGGTGTCACGGCGACTCCTACTACGATGTTCCCTCAAAGCCGCGGTGTCATACCAAACCCCGCTGTAGTATCTGATATAGGATCCATGCGTGATCGCTGAAACAATAAGATCAAACATATTATTCTTACTTGCGATTGAGTTCTCTCCGGGCACGAATCTAATTCAACGCTCTTAGATATATCTACATTCCAGCGTTCCTTCTTTCATAGGATTAATAAAGTTAACACGGAACACGTGACAGGATAAGTCGAGCTATTTCACAGTACTAGGTAAACACGAGGAAGCGATGATCGGGTAAATTTTTGTAAAACGCACGTCACGAGAGTCTCTCACCGTTTGAAATATCGGTGGATCTAAATGCAAATTATTTCCGAGGTAATACGTTTTCTCGATTCGGCTCGGCCGTTATCTACCAGCAACGCGCACCATGCCGTTTCATGCACTTCAAGACGGCATTTATCTATTTACCACACGCAACGCAACGATCCCTGGCTTCGTTTCGAGCTCGCAAACTCACGGGGGAGATATTATCGTTCCGCTCTTTCATAATGCCGGTGGGCGGTCCGAGACGAAAGTCGCTGACTTATTTTCGTCAAGTCGATGCGATGCTGATAAATTACACGAGGGAGAACCGACGCGAGAGTTTCGCGCGACGTTTCTCTCGTGGAAAAATTCTAGCTTACATCACAGTTAATTAACTGTCTAGAAACTTGAAGAAAGTTAATTATGAGTAGGAGAAAGAGATATTAATCATTCTCGTACACTTGGAAATTTTCTATGGACGCGTGATTGAATCCACTCGAGGGTGCTGTACAGAATCCCCGTGTTTACATGTGTTAAAAATTCTCTAACATAATTCCAAAACCAGCTAGATCTTCGCCGTTGAAGAATATCGAGGAGAGCACATACTGGAAAATTCTCACGCCTCGTGGTTCTATTCGATGTTCCCGGGCTAATTCAATATCGGCGGCGGCACGTTGCAGCTGTTGCTCAGGCATACTTGTCGATAGAGGCGGCAATTACTAATTTTCAGAAACCATGGTGAATCGATATTAGGCTGGTAGACGTAGTTTAGATAATTTCCCGCACCGCATGCCGCCCAACGGAACTTCGGGGGCTTGTTAACTATTATATAGTTTACCGTACACGTTGCCATAATGCCACGATAATCAGGATCTAGAGCGATCGGTCCCGGTCTTGAATCGAACAACGAACGCGATCTTAAGGATGTATTGGTCATATAGTCAATCCTAAAAGTTTATGTACCTTAGAACGCATTTCCGATAATCAAACATAGTGCATTTTTCTTCTAATTTCGATATTTAATGAGTTAAGTATCATTATTTGGCATTTTATTGATGTTGACGAAATCCGACCATTCCACCGTCGAAACGGTGAACTTTTGGAAAAAAATTTCGTTTTTCCTCAATAACTCCTAAACCCTTGGAAATACGTGAAAATTGCATAGGACCTTTCTTGTAGAGGACGACGAGATCTACAATTTCCATATAAAAATTTTTCGCTAGCATTAATAGTTTACGAGTTATTGACGAAAAACGAAAAAACAGTTTTTTGCGAATTACTCGTAAACTATTGAGGCTAGCGAAAAGTTTTTATATGGAAATTGTAGATCTCGTCGTCCTCTACAAGAAAGGTCCTATGCAATTTTCACGTA